AAAAAAAAAAATAGATATCAACTATTTTTAGTGACAATGTAATTATATTTAATCTTTAATTTTAAAATTCCATTTGGAACGTGGGAGGACCTTTGAACACCATCGCCTCCCATGCCAACCCCTACAATTACACCAACTGTCCCAGGCTCAGTAGCCATGACGGTTGTTCTATTTTTCAATTTCTATTTATGTATTTATTTATTATTTACTATGTCTTCCTGGGTAGAGTGCCGTGGTGCTCATAGTAATCTCAAACTCTTAGGCTTAAGCGATTCTCTTGCCTCAGCCTCTCAAGTAGCTGGGATTAAAGGCGCTGGCCACTACGTCTGTCCATTTCTTGTTGCAGTCGTCACTGTTGTTTTGAAGGCCCAAGCTGGGAACAAACACGCCAGCCTTGGTACATGTGTCTGGCTATAAACACTGTACTGCAGGCCCTGAACTGTTGTTCTATTTTTTATTAGGCAGAAAACAGAATTGTTTTTTAACATCTACCCTGAGGAAGGAGGCTCAGAGGGCTACACCATAGAAGCTCTGAAGGATGGGCTGCCTCTGGGATCACTTGTACTTCTGTAGAAACTCACAGATCCTCTCCTTAACCATTGGATCCAATGTCGAACAGTCCCATTCTGACAACTTTACCAGGCGCTCATGGGCTTCCCAGAAGAGGCCAGAGCCAATTGCCAACTCCACCCGCATGCGCCACTCAGCCAGCCTAGAGCTGGTTTGGAAGATATTATGGTTGCTCCCCAGGGTCTGTGGACAGACAAAGAGGAAAGTGTGTTCAGCCTGGGGTCCAGCCCCACCTGGGTCCTTTCCTACAGTCTCGGGGACCCTTCCCATCTGCCTTTGCAAAGAACTAGTCTGAAGACACCCAAGGCCTGGGTGAGGAATCACAGATGGAATAGATAAAGGATGGACATGGGGGATCTGGAATGTCCCAGGGGTCATATTAATCCCTCCCCTGCATGTAGAGGCAACATAAATGTGCCATTCCCAATGTGCTTTTAAATGCACCATGGATGCCCTCAGACCCAACCAGGGGAGCTGCCTGGCATAGCTGTCTGTCTGTAGCTCTGGAAAAGAGACAAGACCTGAAGGACAGGTTAGGAGCCTCTGGACATTTCATGGAGAGCCTTAGGAGGAGGCATCTGGGATTCTGGTGGATTGACTGAGAAAAGCAGGGTGTTCTTCTCCATATCTCAGGCTTACCCACTAGCTCCTCCATACACTGAAGAATCTTTGTCAAGCATGGAGGATTGTGACCCTCCCCTCCCTGATTCAAAAAACCCTGTGCTGTGACTAGGCATGGTGGTTCACATCTATAATCCCAGCACTTTGGGAGGCCGAGACGGAAGGATAGCTTGATCTCAGGAGTTCAAGACCAGCTTGAGCAAGAACAAGACCCATGTTTCTATAAAAATAGAAAACATGGCTCGGCGCCTGTGGCTCAAGTGGCTAAAGCGCCAGCCACATACACCTAAGGTGGCGGGTTCGAATCCAGCCTGG